GGAGGGAGGGAGGGAGGGAGGGAGGGAGGGAGGGTGGGTGGTTATATGTATGTATGGATGGATCGATAGATATAAAGAGTCAATACGCAAAACGATAAAGTTAAACATTTTGATGTGTCAACAGGGCCACTGCAAACAACTACTTTGCCTTTTCCCTTGTCTCCCCCACCCCCCGTTTAACTGAGTCAACACTTCTTGCTGTTTCTTTGCTGTTTTCTGCACATGTGCTTTCAGTAGATTTTGAAGGGAGGATTATATCATTTAACAGAAGTCACACCATTTTTCACGCTGTCAATTTTTGAAATTCATCTCATTCATCTCATCTCAGAAAAACATCTCATTCTAATGATGTTAAAACAAAAAATTAGGAAAAGCAAAGCATTGGAAACGAATTGCCTTCACACTGGATAAACAAATCCCTTGTCCTTGAAGCATTAGGTAGAAAGGTCCTTTGGAAGATTCCAACAGTTTCTCACAAGGTTTTCACCAGCTATGTGTGCAGGTATAAATAGTTCAATAAAGTGTTGTTGACTGTGCATATACACACATGATATTTTTTGTCTTTTAAGGACCCTGTCATCCCTTGCATCGGAGTGGAATCAGGGCAACTGAATGGAGCTGAGTGTTTACGGGCGAGATGCCCTTCCTGTCACCAATGCAGAGGTCGCAGCAGATATATTCTCATTGTGCCCAGAGAGAGAAATATCTGCCACTACCTAGGATCAAACTCATTGTGAGGCGAGAGCGCCACTGCATCACTCATATACATACAAATACACATACACAAATCCACAGGGAAACGTTCCCTTCTAGTGCTTTGCACCAATCTACACAAATCCAGGCACTCAACAACCTGCTGTTGCCACAACCACAAATGCAAAACTTTTCACATACTGTATATCAGTCAGCAGCTTCAACTGGCAGACATTATAAACTGGGAGAAATCGAAGTCTTAATATTAATATATCCAAGTTAATATTTAAAAGAAAAAAAACATGTATTATGAAGCAGGGAGCTTGTTATTGCAGTTCTGCTTTTTTTTTTTTTAAAAAAAATGCTTTTTAAAACTGAGCTGTTTGCTGTTTTTGCTGGCCAATCTTACCAGGAGGTTGTTTCACACGATGAACAGCCACAATCCCTAGAGGCTGATGAACATTATAGATCATTACTGTTTGATTTCTCCCATGCCATTTGTTTGCTCGGATGACTCGATGGGTGTATCGGTCAGTCCAATATATGAAATCCTCAAAGACAGTGAGTGCGTGAGGATGCCGCAATATCTATTTTTTAAAAAAAAGGATTAAACATTTCGATTATTATTTCACGCCCTTGCTATTGTTACCCTAAAATGACACGTCATATGAAAATTAAAGTTTTCTAGGCATCTGCCTAGCCTTGCTGAAGTAAACCTCAAGGAAAGTTTATGGCACAAAAGATGGCTCGCAACATGCGTTAACAGCTTTGCATCATTATATTTTAGGCAACAAGCTGTGGACTTTTTTATACATGGTCCTAAGTCGTATAATATAATTTAGGTGCTGATTGTATACCAGCACTCAAAAATCTGAAGTAATAAGCTAGATAGCTTGCTGGATTTATCCTGATGGGACAGAGATTCCGGTTCTTCTGAAAATTCTCTGCTTCAGCCAACTGAATGTATAAAATCAGGTATTATGATTTTGATGAGTCATGGTGGCACGGTGGTTGGAATGCAATTCTGCAGGATACTTCTGCTGACTGCTGGTTGCCTGCAATTTTGCAGATTGAACCTCACCAGGGCTCATGGTTGACTGAAACTTCCACCCTTCTGAGGTGGGTAAAATGGGGGCCCAGATTGTTGGGGCAAGAGGCTGATTCTGTAAAAACTACTTAGGAAGGGCTGTAAAGCACTGTGAAGCAGTATATAAGTCTAAGGGCTATTGCTATCAGATAGTAAATATTTGAACAATCTGGCCATCCATTTCCCCATTTTTTAAATTTGACTTTTTTCCATACCAGGTCACTTGCCACCACCTGCCTCCTGTTGTTTCCATTATAATCACAGAAATCAATGTAGTCAAGATAAGCATCCGCAAAATATAAGAGCTTATTGGGATAGTCGATGGAGAGTCCATTGGGCCAGTAGATCTTATTGCTGACAATGGTCGTTCGTAACGTGCCGTCCATACTTGCTCTTTCGATTCGGGGATTCTGACCCCAGTCTGTCCAAAACATCACATGACCACTGCAGAAAACAACAGGTTAATGGTAGAAAGATGTTTAGCCCTATAAATCTGGAAGCTCCTGGTTCACATCTCACTTCTGTCACTACCCAGCATTAGGCAAGCTATTATTCCTCAGAGTGTTTTTATTTTTTATTTTTATTTATTTATATCCTGCCTTTATTATTTTTACAAATAACTCAAAGCAGTGTGCAGATTTGATACGCCTTCCTCTGCCTATTTTTTTTTCCATCACAACAACCATGTGAGGTGAGTTGGGATCAGAGAGTTTGGCCCAGGGTCACCCAAGTAGCTTCCATGACCAAGGTGGGACTAGAACTGGCTTTCTAACTTGGTGCCTTATCCACTGGATCAAGCTGGCCCTTTAGGTTTCGTCCGCTATCTGCAATATGGGAATAATAATAATGCTGCTCCAATATATTGGACTATAGAATTTGACAACCAGTGAAACATTCTCAGCTTGTTCACACTTCTTTACACTGGAGTATATTTAAGGTGGCCATGTGGTATAAATAGTTTCTAGTTCCCAAATTAGGTGTGATTCTGTAATTTGCTATCATTAATTGAATTGTGCATCAGAGTTTTGCTACAACTCAGAAGACAACTGGTGGCATCCAAATGTACTCCGATGTTCCACGAATTTATGATATGCAATCAAGTGATTTGGAAACATGAATGCCTACAATCATGTTACAACAATCCTAAAGTTCATTTGTTTCATAATTATTTGCTATAATGCCCATTCCAAAGAGGGCCACTGATCAAAATTATTTCTTATTGCATGTCACTACAAAAGACATAACAACAATTATGCATGCTTAAAGCCAATGTTTAAAAATCTTACTCGGTTCTGGGATCTAAGACAAGACCTCTTGGGTTCGTCACATTTTCACTGATCAGAACAGTCCGATGGCTTCCATCAAGTCTGGAGACTTCAATTGTTTCCAAGACATAGTCTGTCCAGTAAAGGTTGCGGCCTATCCAATCCACTGCGATGCTTTCTGTAACTGTGACACCACTGTCAAATACCTGCACAAAGTCATGGAAACCCATTATATTGGCATCCTTGTAATATTTTATTATTGAAAAGGATTCAAGTTAGTTTGCATTTTATAAAAGATGGGAAACATGTATTATTTATCTCCTCCTCCGTGGCAAGACTAACTAAAGTGAAATTCTCTCATCTCTCTAAAAAATGATAATTCTTAGTCTAAAATGAATATTTATGAACAAAATCAACATATTTTCAAGGAACAGGGATCGCTTACTAAGGAGTCTCCACTATAGCATGTGTTCACTGGCCCTAATCCTTCTACATGTATTTATTTATGGAATAGTTTGCATGAACCCCCAGACACACTTAGAGCTCCATAAAATTTGGACGTGCAATCACCATCTTAAATCAGCAAGATACTTACTACTTTTCGGTCTGTTCCATTCTGGTAAGCACTCCAAATCTTGTCCTGGCTGATATCAGACCAAAAGATTCTATCAGTCACTGAATCAAAATCAAGAGCTACAATGTTCCTTCCATCTCGAATCAAGGAAAAAATGCGCTGGCCCTGGGAAGTTATGTTATTAACGACAATTTGGTTACGGCTTGCCACCATCAAGAGAAGATTCCCAGATTCTGCAAAAACAGGCAATTAAAAACAAACCTTTAAACTATCTACATCTAGAAGGCATTCCATTTCATAAAGGCATATATGATATATAATTTTAATACACAGTACATGCATTAAATACACATTATTTAATACACAGTATTTTTAAAAGCCATAATTTCAAGATGCTATAGGGCAGGGATCCCAAAACCCTGGTTCATGAAATTAGGCCATGGAAACAAGCGAAGTCCCATCTGCGGGTTGCAGGCAAAGCCACACCGCTTCCAGTCAATGGAAAAACCTCTCTCCTTGGAACCAGTCCCTGGTGCCCAAAAGATTGGGGACCATTGGTATAAGGAGGGCTAAATACACAGTGTGCATGCCAATAATCTCCGGTTTAAACCTGGCACTTCCAAGCTGAGCTGTGAAATCTAAAGAGCTGCCAATCGTTGTGGATTGAGCTAGATGAATTATTAGGCCAACTCAGTCTAGGTTAGTCTCTTGTGTTCTACAATAGAATATGTTAAGCAATTGTTCTATGCCACCTGAGCCATAAAGGCTTCAGGTTCCATTGTGCATATGACTCCCTGAAGCAAAAATACTTGCTTACATAGGACACTGATTATGTTAATGTTTAGCAACTGGACATCTTGACATCTCAAACATATCATAATTCTCTGTGTACACAACACGCAATAACTTCTGATGTAATCAAATTTGTAAAGATGACTGCAATTATAATCTGCCTTATGAATATCCTAGTGCTAGTAGCCTATATTCAAATGAGTGGGCAATTTTTAATGTTAAAGGTCTCACTGGGTAAGAATAGCCAGGATATGATTATGCATTTGTGTCTATTCCTATCACCTTATAATTAGGGCATTCCTCACCTGTTACTTTGCATGTCTTCCCATTGGATTCTAAGATGTAGCCATCATCACAGTAACACCTGAATGATCCCCTTTCATTGTGGCAGTGTTGGCTACAAAATCCAGGAGAGTCACATTCATTAATGTCTTCACAGGTCTTTGAATCGTTGGCAAGTTGGTAGCCGAAAGGGCAGGAGCACTGGGCTCCAAAGGGGCCCTGAATGCATCCATGCGTGCAGCCTGCATTATTATCCAAGCAGGTCTCCTGGTCTGCAAATAAATTGGAGAGAGTGATATGAACATAGGTCACCTGTTCTTAATTCATGGCTTGAGTCTTTCAAATCACCATCCTATGGACCTCACTGCATGCTACTGCTGCACCCATTCAAGATTGACACTATGTACTGTGTGACCATGAAATGGGTAAGTCTTTAGTAGATGGAACATGGTAATTGTACAGCCTTTCTCTAGAGCTGGAGGGGAGTGTTTCCACATTGATGGGAGCTCCCACTTCATCCTGCCTTAGGAACCCCTCTTCCCTCTATAGCCAAGGCAATACAGCATCTTGTCATGAGCCACATCTTTACCCAACTGCCCCCAAGGAGCTGCTTTGCCATTTCACTGAGCAGGGACTGCCCTTTTCTATTTTGTCTGCTTTCCTTTCCTTTTCCTCACTGCAAAAAGCAATGTGGCAAGGGAAAAACATCCACAGTGACTGATAGCTGATGTTTTGTGTCTTCCGAATGAATAGTCAGAGGATGCTCAGCTCTATTTAATGCCCTTTGGCCTTAATAACAACAAAACAAAGCAGGTTTTTTTTGAAGCATTGTAAACAGAGAAGGCAAGTTACTCGTTATTGTGTAGTGGGATTCAATAGGCAAGAACCAGACCACATTCTAGTACAAAAAAGAGATCATTTAAATTAGCGGTTACAGTAATTCTAGGCCTAATTACAGAACCACATACGCCAAAAGAAAATAGCATTTAAGATTGGGTTTTCAAACCAAAGTCAAGAAGTCATTCTGCAACAAAAGTGAATGCAAACAAACCTTGGATAATTTTAGCTGCCTTTTGCCTCTCCTTAGCTTATGTGACCATGGCTAGAATATAAAGGGCAGGCTGCAGCATTCCACACTTTACATGAAAGTGAGGTCCCCAGACTTGTTTAGCTAGTGGGCATCTTTTGAATTTTTAAGACCCATTAAAATGCACATAAAATGAGCATTGAGCATAAGGTAAACTGGTATCTTGTGTCCCCTATTCCATGTAGCAATACTCTCTATTTCTTTAGAGTACTTTGTTTTGCTTCCAATTTTTGGGGCAGGGGGCATGTTGGAAAGGACAACAAAGCATCAGGCTACCAATAATTGTAATTTTCTTAGATTCCCTTTGGGATCTAACAAAGCCTCACAAGTGAAGATGCTATTTAAAGTTGGACCTTCAACAGCCCCAAAGGTACTTTCAAAAAGGCAACTTTATTTTGCTTGGAAACTTTCGGTTCTCACTTCTCATCCAAGAAACTTCTTCAGTTCTAACTAACTGAAGAGGAATGGAAAAGATTTATACTGTTTGCAGTCAATCAGTCATTAACATCTTCAAGAAAAATCAAGGAAGCCTAGTTGTCTTTTTGAAAGAACCTTTGAGACAACCATGACCTAGATGGCTGAGAACCTCCATAAACATTGACCTCTGCATTCTCATTTACTGAGAATCATTTACATTTAAACAAGAAATATAAAGTGGCATATAGAATTTAACAGAATTTAGAATTTAACAGAAGCCATGGGATACATCACTGCACATCTGGGCACCCATGGATTAATGCCATTACACTCTGTGACAAAATGGCCTGAAACGTTCAGTATTTGGGCTTGAAGAGGGAGGAGGTTTCTCCTTCCAACAAAGAATCTTTCTAGTTTCATAGTTGAGTCTTGTCAATTTGGGGATAGAAAGTTGGTTTGAGGCTTTTAAGTGACAGATTTGATTGAAGCCTGTCCTTATCAGACATGCAATGTTAACTCACTACTCTTTCTTTCAGAAGGCAACATTTTTACAGTTGGGGGCCATATTGTTTACAGACCTTCAAAACCACAGCCCTGCAAAGCCTATTCTGTTGTGGCCGCCAGCAGCCAGCAAAGCTGGCAGCAGAGTCGGACAGTGAGGAGGTTGGGGAGGAACATGGGCCAGTCCTAGGGGCTGAGGGAAGCTCAGACAAGGCCTCTGCGTTGGAGGCAGAGAGGGAGCTAGACAGCAGTGAGGCAGAGGAACAGTTGGAGCCTGTTCCCAGTGTGCGCATGCGCAAAGCTGCCAGAAGACAAGAACAATTAAGAAAGCAGGGTCAACTTGGGAGTAAAGCCCAATTGGCCTCTCCCATAGGAAACAAAATAGGAGTGAATGGGGAGGGGGCTTTTGCAGGAAACAATTCATTCCTTCGTTTCAAGCGTGGAAAGTTCTGTTTGTGACTATAACAGACTCTGTGCCAAGTGTTGCCCTGTCCTGAGTTTGGAAACTAATTACCTGGCAGCTCGCCAAGCAAGATAAGGTTTGTGTTGATAAATATTCCTCTGAAAGACTGTTTGCCAAGCCTTGCTGACTGTGAATGAAAGGAATTCACAGTCATGTAAATAAAAGAGGTTTTGCTGGGACCAAGAGTCTGCTTCATGCTTTTTAAGGAAGCCTAGGTCAGAACAACACACACATGCACACATGCACACATGCACACAT